AGTGAACAATTACGTACAAAGATACTGACAAGTAAACATTACGAATGGATGAAGTTTTAGATTAAAAAACACGTCATTCGATAATATTGTTTGTGAGATAAATTTGACACAAAATTTTACGTGCTATAATGTTAACATGAGAACATATGACATATAGTGTTTTTGGGATATTTATTATTATTTTATATAATTTTTAATCATAGAACTTTATTAACAGTTCTATAGTAGTTAAAGAACACGATTATCTTAGTGCAGTTATTTTAACTATAATTGTCAAAATATATTTCAACTACTTTAGAATTACTCAATATTTCGTAAGGCGTAGCCGTATGGTGTGAACACTTAGCCCGTTTAAAAATGAGTTACACCAAACATTTAACAAAAAACCCAGCACAAGGGGGTCGCGGCATAGTGATGACGTTGCATAGTTGGGTCAAGTATAATGATATCTGACAGTGATTAAAATCACTATCATAAAAAACGCTTCGATGCAAATTTGTAGATAGTGTTTAATTTTAAAAAATTGGTGGATTATTCTAAAAGCTACATGATATGCTAGTTCCTTATTTGTATTCTGATTAAGATATAGTATGTCGAATGAAAGAGGGATATAAATATTATTTCTTATAAAAAAATTGTATTGATCCATACATTTTTCAAAAAGTTATAAAAATATAAAGTTAAAAATGTAAAAATAAAATCCAGAATTTTCACACAAAAATAGTATTTGGTAACTATTTTCACCGTGAAGACAAAATAAAGTCCGAATATTTTTTTTTCCATGATAAAGAAAGTATATTACATTAGCTTTAATTTAAAATATATATAAAAGTGTCAGACTTTCCGGAACACTTTCAAAAGTTAAGAGTAAAAACTAAATTTTTTGTGAAAAATTTGACATTTTGAATCCCCCCCTGTGGGCAGGTAAAGGGTCAGATATATAAAAAAATATATACTATATGATAGGTAAAGACATCATGCATCTAAAAAAAAAAAATTATTGATTTAAAAAAAAAAATATATTGATTTGTTTATTTTTGAAAAAGTTATGGCAGTTTTAAGTAAAAAAATTTTCTATTTTTTTAGAGTAATATCTTCGACTAGATACTATTTGTTATCTTTTGACCTATCGTTGAATGAAATCGGTTCGGTGAGAGCTGAAAAAAAGTGGTAACAGACACAAAAAAAAAACACATCATAGTAAAATGTACTTCATGAAATAACTATTTACGAGCGGTAGAAAATGAGGTTTAGCTTCCTCAAAACGTTTTTAACACACTGTATTAGTTATTGTAAATCATAAATATCCTATAAGTTCTCATGTTAACGTGTACCCGAATCTCTTGCACTCCTTATTTGTATCAATGGACATGAATACCAAAATAAATATTTTTTACTTGAAATAAATGTTTATACCTAAAGCAATGGCGTATCCACCCATACAAAACAATCTTCAGCTTTTAATATAGTTAATACTTAAAATAGTTTTTTCATCGAAATTTATATGTCACTACATCAAGTATTAATAACTTTTTATGATTTTAAATAACTTTTTTATTATTGTATAAAATTAATCGAAATAGTATAATCTACCTAGTGTTATTTCAAATATACGATAATGTGCAAGTTAAATATTAAGATTAAACATTATTTTTGTATTTCATTAAATTATATAAATATATTATTTTATCATAAAACGTTGACATTCAAGGGAATTGTTGAAAATCGTCATAAATTGTTATTTATTACACTTCCTAAATCGCTGGATAATTATTTTCAAAAATATATAAATTTATTGTAAAATAAATCGCTGAACCTTGGAATTATTTTACAGATTAATTCAACAATTTTCATTATTACTTCTTTTAATATTGTAAAATAATAATATATACATTAAAACTATCAAATAGGTACATGTTAGAAGTGATATTGTGAATGTTACATTGTTAATTTATTGTATTATTTTGGCAATTATCTGAAAATATTATATTATTATTTCATTATTAATTTGTTGAACAATTGAAGCGATTTTCAACTTTTTTGAATATCGCTTATAATTTTGACTTAAATATAAAAATAAAACTGATGGTTATTGATAATTTAACATTTAATTTGATTTTTATAATTTTCATTACAATACAAGCCAACTCATTGAAAAAACTAAATAAAATTTATCATTTTTTATTCACAAATTGAATAAAAATTGCTAATTAATTATTTAGTATAATAATGTGTATAATTTATTTAATAATTTGTATTAATTAATTTGATTTAAAAATACAGTAACTAAATTTTATAATGACATCAAATTTAAAAATTGATATATTTGCTGTCCGTTTAACAAAAAAATAATTACATCATCTAAAAATTATTACTTAACTTCATATCAAAGAGATTTTTTTAAAACATTAGGTTTTAGAAATTAATGATGCAATAAAAAAATTAGGTGATTATCTATCTTCATATCTTTTTCGTTTATAATTTTATGATTTATGTTTTGTAATGATAATTAACTATTATAGTTAAATGAAATTAAGTAAATGTAGTTATCTTAAAATAATATGTAAGTGTTGTACAACACAGTAATAATTAAAATTGCGTATAAAAATAATTATTATGATTATACAAACGAGCAAGGTTTTCTATCTAAAATGTCTTAATATGTTATCATTTATATATGTATTATAATTGTTGAATTAAGCTTGCAGAATAATTACTATTGCTACAATTTTATGTAAGAATAGTACCTAAAATAGTTAATTATATTCCACTAATGTTCTTTTCAAAGGGAAAATCTTGCATGTTTTCTTTCATACGTCATATATTAACTAAAATTCTGATAAAAACATAAATAACCATTTTAAAATAATCCATTTTGATTCTAGCAAACTTTGATTTCTAAGAGAGATTACTTGACACCCATGTATTTAAAATAAATACATTTTTACTAATTCTGCGCATTTTATTGTGACAAGCGCAAAAAAGCTACAAAAAATATTGGCATCCCAAAGTATAAAATGAATGTTTATACATAACTTAAATAAATACTTTTTTAAAATAAATAATTTAATATTGAAATTTAAAATATGGATAGCTAAAGTATAATTTATGGATAAAGGAAAAAATTAAAATACTTTTTTTTTTCATATCATTTTTAAGAATATTTTTTTCAAGTTTTAAAATCTATAAAACAGTGTTTAACAATATAAAATACCAAATAAGATTAAATAAAAAAATTTGATGCGTATTAAAATACGTGTAAACATTTTATACAATTTTGAGTAGCTAAAAAAAATCCAACACTTGATAGCTTCAAATATTTATTGAGACTATATGCACGTAATTCATAAAAAACAGGTCATTAAAAATTTTAAAGTCCGATTTGGTAAGATTTCGGTGGGAATAATCTTTCAAATTTTCGTCATTATATAGTAATAAATTTATACGAATACATAATATGTACATTCGAGTAGTCTTTCTCTAATAACATTTTTTTTTTAAATATATTATAATAATATTTTTATAACGTTATAAAAATCTTTTTAACATTTTTCTTATTTTTCCTTGCCTTAATACCAACTACTTGAGTCGACCAAAACATATAATGTTATATTATTGTTTTAATAAAATTGTTATGTGAGTTAGCTATAGAAGAAAATTATTTTAAACAAATTTGTCAGCACCTCTCAATTTTGTTTTAATGATTTTAAGAAATATGTAAGTGATGTTGAGTTTAATCTGTCCAGCAATTGTCCATCATTTTCCCATCATCAAATTTTAAACCCCTCAAGGGACTTGAAAATTGGTAGATGAGAACTAAATAAGTTTTTTAAACATAACTTATTAAATTTTATATTTATATAAAAAATTTACTGAACTCTTTTTAAAGAATATATTATTTATTAAAAAATGTATCAATGATTTTTTCTGTAATATTAATAGTTCACTGCATATAGATAAGGTAAAAAGTTGGAATATTGTTTACTCTTCATATTATTTCCATTTTTAGTCATATTTGTGATGTCCCTATTGAACATATTGTATGTTATCTTGATGATAATGAACATTTAATTCAACAATTGCTTATGATTTGAAAAATATTAGTAATAGTTTATCGATGGTATAAGTGACATATTACATAATACTGATTTAAAAAAAAGTTTAGTAGTGATGTTTCGATTGTACAATTTTGTGTATTTTTAATATTGCTTTATTTTGATATTTAAATAAATTTTATATTTGCATTAATTAATATACTAAGACAGCATATATACTTAATTAGTCCAATGAAATACTATTTTACTGGTTCCAAATTGCCTTCAAAAAAAGATTGCTTAGACGTTTTATTTTTTAATATGAAATTTGTTAAATTAAGTGTACATGACAGTCACTTGATTATGAACAAGTGTTTTGAAGAAAAACCCCTGTATATGTACATATGATCTATTCAATTGCGTAAAAAATCAAACAAATTATACACAAATATGACTACAAAAATAGACATAATATGCAGAGTAAAAAATATTCCATCTTTTTACCTTTTCTGTTTATTATGCATTGAACATTATTAACATAACAGAAAAAATAATTTATACTTTTAAAGTAAATAATATATTCTTTATAAATAGTTCAGTAAACTTTTTTTATAAATTTCAAATTTAACGAGTTATATTTAAAGAACTTAATTTCACCCCTCACCTACCAATTTTCAACCCTTTTGAGAGACGAAAAATAGTGGACAAATCAAACTCAACTTCACTTACATATTTCTTAAAGTTATTCAAATAAAATTGGGGAGTGCTGACTTTAAATTTTTGACTTTTAAAATTAATGATCTATCTAATGCACATAAAGTATACGTTAACATAACTTTTTTTTTTTACCGAAATCATTTTTCAAAAAAATCATCATTTTTTTAAAGAGTGATTTCTGGGTTTTCCTGTAATTTTTATTTGATATTCCATATTTAAATAAATTAACATGTATGCCTATCATTCTAGGTGAATCTAAAAAATTGGACAGTTAACATCATGCCGTGCCGATATCAACCGAAGAGTCTGCTAAGTTTATCGGAATCTAGAGTCGTATCCAATGTTGTTTATACGTGCTATGAGATACAAGAGCTAGTTTACTCCGCTCAGACATTCTTATTTGTAAAAAACCAAATGCGACAATTTTGGCAATTGTCCGTACCTGTTGTCATTCGCCGTCGAATTTTGATCAAGTGTATGAATATGCTTGCTGATGTGACGCGCGAGGGACACTCCATTAGTCCAATAGACACAGTACCATTATGTTTATTAGCTGTTATGCTAGATAAAGATATTGTAGAATTAAAAGTACAGCTTTGTTGTTACTACGGCTGTAGTCATCAAAATGCTATGCTTAGATTATTAGCATCGGAAGCTAAAGGCTTGGAAAAGTTTGAACTTTCTAGATCCACACTTCTACGATTAGGTATATAAAACTCATTAATATATGATAATATTCAATTTGTTGATTCTGATCAAATATATTGATATTTTTTCACAGACACACAATTATTCCATTCGGCGTTGTTGTCCATGAGTAATTTAAAATGTTTAATTCTTAAAAACATTGCATGTGATAAATTATTGAAAATAATTGGCCTGTCGTGTTTTGTGTTGGAAAAACTTGATATTTCTAATTCCAGCCAAGTCACTGATGAAGGTCTAAAAAATTTATTGTTACAAATTGAAATCAGAGACAAACAAAAGTTGGACAAATATTCAATCGAATCCAAAGGTCAAACAATTACTAAAATATCATTAATGAAAATCCTAAGAACACTTTCAAGGTACCAAAAAAAGTTATCAGTTTTAACTTTAATTTTTAATTTACTTCAATTTTTTTTTAGAAAACTTAAAACTAAAATCTCGGGTGAAAAGGTCAAAATTGACGATATGTCTTTTATACTAGAGTACTGTCAAAAGAGCACTCAGTTATGTTCCACAATGCGTGTGCTTAATATGGCTAATACTAGCATTACCTCTCTTGGTATACTTTTAGCGTTGAAGAATATACCCAATTTGGAAAATCTGGGCGAATACTGTCATATAGGAAAAGCTTTGGAGTTGCTTGACAAGTTAACAGAGGCTAAACAGCTTCAATTGACAATGATTAACGCATGTCGAACCACATCGGCCCGATTACAAACGTTGTGTGATTCATGTACAAGACTAAACCGACTAACTATATCAGAACCATTACATACACCTAACATGTTGAGTTATTTACCTCATACGCTCATCAAAATCAACTTGCAATCCGTACCAGTAGAACAGTCGTGGGTGAGCGAGTTGTACAATTACTTCTCTGGATCAGCTTCAAAAAAGTTACGAGAAGTGTTTCTCAAGTTTCGTCGAAATAACAGTTCACCTTTGATCGATTTGAGTAAAATCCTTCCAGCTCTTTCTGATCTCGAAGTTCTATCCATTGATAATGCCGAAATTCAATGGATAGAATCGCCACCTATAGGCAACCAACAGATACCTCCATTTAAAAAACTCCAGAAGTTGCAACTTTGTAATATTAGAGACGTTAATACTTTTCGTGTATTACTTAGACGGACACCTTTTCTTAAAGTATTACATATCTATAGCATAAATACTGAAAGTCAATCTAGTTTAATAGAAATGTTAAATGAGCACGATGATCTTACGAAAAACCTTGACTGTCTATACTTTAATGAACTTTTACCTAGTGGCAATCCAGACACTCTTAAAGAATTAGTAACAACTTGTCCGAAGATTAATAAAATTGGTAACGTTGCAAACTGGAGCGGAGTGAATCGTGATGAGATCAAAGACTTAAATGAGTGGATACAACATAATAATTATAAATTGGAATTGTGTGCTGGTTCGCATTGGTATTGTTCTGAATGTTTCCCTATCGCATGATAAATAATACAAAAAAGTTATAATCATTATTTATCAACGATTTAAATTATTTTATCAAGTGATAGCAATTATATCACCTTTTAATTTGATCTTTATATCATTATTTAAATCTTAATGCTTTTTAATAAGACAAAAATTATGAATTTAGTCGAAAATAAAATTTAAAAAGTCATGCATAAGATATATTTTTTAATTTACTCAACATTTTAATTTATTCACGCACTAAGATAAATATTATTTGTTAAATTTGTAACATTTTATCAAAATGGACTTGTTTGTATCTGATTTTGTATTTAATGTTAATGTTATTGTTTAACTATTAGTTAATACAAAATATAGTGATTAATGATTTATCTTTATTTTGATTGTATTAACTTTAAAATGAAACACTATCTCATTATTTACGCTATTGATTTTTTCTAAAATGTCGATATTGTAGATATAAAGTACAAAAATAAATAAATTATTCATGATTTATAACAAATGTATATCAAATTATTCTTATAGTTTTTATATCAAAAAGTATTTCAAGACTATTATTGTAAAGAATAAATAAATCACATACTTTTTAAAAATTTACTAAAAATTACTAGAATTTAAAGTTGAAGATATAAAATTTTAACAAAAATGTAGCATGTTCTTTAAATATGATGGTCATTTGCACATAAAAGATAAGTGGTGGGGACAACATTTTTTTTTAACATAGTATCTAGCATAACCTTTAATTCAACGTTGGAAGAAACTAGGAGTATTTCCAGGAAATTTTCAAAAATCAAGTTTAAAAGGTTAACTTTTCATACAAAAGTAGCAATTTTGAATCCTCATTAATAGGCGCTGGTTAAGAGTCAGATTTTCAAATAAAGTTTTTTTTATACAAGATAATACTGAATTCAACAATACTAACATAGTAATGCCCGGTTGTATAAATACTATGAATTGCAATTTCAAAAATCATTTCTTCATTGGATGAGTCGGAAAAAAAAGATGAACATGAATCGGTTAAAGATAAGACTGATGATGAAGACATGACTTTCCCGAGTTAAAATTCAATTTTATAAAATAATACGAACACAAGAATACTTGTTTAATATTTTTGGTTAAACTGTTAGTGTATGAAAACCTAAATAAGAACTATTTTTTATAGCAAATATAATTCGATAAAGAGAAAGATAAACAGCTTGATAAATTTTACAGATCAGAAATCGGACCAACAAATATCGATTTATAAAATCAACATTTAATCATTTTTCGGAACTATTTTTAAATTTGCGGAACCGATATTTAGTTATTGGTTCTGTAAATGTTCATGGGATGGGGTGTTAAACTTCTTTATTAATAGATAATGATTAATAAAATCGAGGCTGTGGGTGAGTTGCGGCCACCGTGTTATTTACGATATCAGAGACCGATGAATTTTGGCCCTTAGAGATTTTGTCATGAGTTGATTTGTGTCCCGAGTAATTGTCGCATTTGTAATTATAGTAATGATAAATAACCTACATTGATAGCCGGGTCTCTTTGTAGATATTTAAATTACTTACTATAGTATAACGTTCATATTATAGTGTAGTATTTTTCATTTACATTGTCAGGCTAAATTCAGCTACAATAGAGTTTATTTCTAGTGAAAAATCAAAGCCACTTATTATTTTCACAAAACACTTAAAGATGATCTACAGAGATGGTCTTGCTGTGTAAAACATTGCTTTCTCTTTGAAATAAAATAGTCGGGATAATATTAATTACAGCAATGGTAAAACTGATGAAAATGTCCTAAATAGGAATATTTTGAATAATTCTTTGAAAATAAAAAAATAGCATTAGATAACATTTCGTGCAATTCAACAAAACTTATTCACTCGGAATTAAAAAAAGGGGAAATACTGACTTCAACAACCTCAAAAAATGCTGATTATTCGTTTCGGCATTTATCGATGCAATTCAACAACCTTATATACTTTTCCTTAACTTACGTCAACACGACCGAAACTCATAATAATACGATTACTACACAACTGACTTTTTATTTGGTACTCTTTCTTTATAATTTATGTTGTTGCACCCAATATACGGATATTATCGTATTGTGTTTTGGCGGATATAAAAATTTGTATCAATCTATTGTTGTTATAGTCATTATTATTATGAATTGTTGATTACGACTTAAAATATATATAATCACATCTAATTAGTACATTAATTAATGTGTTTACTTGTGTCACCTTCCTGTAATGGATTGACGGCGTCCTAAGCACATTACTGGTTTATGTCAAATGGTGGCTGGAGTGTGAAGTGTTTTTTTTTTTGGTTTGATTGTATGTACTCATTTTAAAAATACCCAGCCAAAAAAAAATTGAAATGAAAAAATTATATTTATGGCGAATTTAATTTAAATAAGCACCTGAGAAAGGATATAGTTTCATTAACCTGAGTTATGCCACTAATCATAAATTTGTTTTTATTTAAGTTTTCTTATCAAATTATCGTCTTTCATGTTCGGAAGCAAAACGTAATTTTTATCGTAAATATGTATTCAAATATTTTTATTAGTTATAAATTTGAGATGAAAACTTTTTTGTTAATGTTATTTGTCTACCTCATCAGTCAACTTATGTTTTTCTCTATTCCAGTTAAACCTATTAAAAAAAGTAAGCATAAACTTGATTCTAATTACTCAAGGACATGAATTTGCTTTTTAAGATTAAATAATGAAATAGTTGGATGTTATGGTGACAAAAACAAAATATAATTTCACTTACGTTTTCCATAGCAACAATACATATTAAAACATAATTTTAACAATTAATAGTTACGACTTTACTTAATTACTATATAACGTAACTAATAATATATTTTGGGTAATATAACAACCATGAATCCAGCAGGTGTATATGAAGTGAGAGTTTATCTTGTTTAGCCATTAATTTCAACCGACAAAACATCTATGAATAATTTGTACACATTTTTTTTAGCAAAACTCAAATCATCAATTTAATGAAATTGATAATATAAAAGACGATATTATAAATATTGAAGAAGAAAATATTACAGCGGAGGAGTCGGTAGTGTTGAGCGATGCATTTCCAGATTACCGAAATTGGATTGAAGAAGAAGAAGCCGAGGAATTCACTCACAACGAGTATAAAAAATATACTAAAATAGATAAACTTAAACAAGTATGTAGCAAAATTACGCATTTTCGTAAGACTACAATATATTTATTTTCAAAAATATTAATTTCTTCATTAACTGATTTAAGTGTCTTGTCTGAAAAAATGGGTTTCTTTTTGGAAATTAATAATATAATTTTCTAACATTCAAATATTTTGCATTAAATAATTATTTGAATTAGTAGGTTGTAAATGTAGAGAATTTGGTATGTGCTCTAGTCTTAAATAGAATTATATTTTTATTTAATAGTACAAAAAATCTATCATAAAAAATTCAGCACCTATTGAGAAAGCTTTAACAGCTGAAGAAGCCGGTAATTGCCTTACGAGAATTGCTCAAGTGACTGAAGGATTTAATTATGCTTTTATTCAAATCGATGCGGTTTTAAAGTAAAAATAACAATAAAATTAAATATTAGAATTTATATAGGACAAATAGTGTTTATAAAATTAATTAAATTATTAAACAGTATTACAATTCAATATTTGTTCAGAGAGGAAATTATATAAAAATGATTAACTTACACACATAAATAAAATATTCTTGTTTTAGGGATCTCACCAATATTGACATAATACCAAACTTTAAATATTTATCATATATAAATGTTTCGTACAATTATTTGAGCTTGAAGGCTTTAGACTCACTTAAAGATTTGCCACATGTGTTACTTATATATGCGGACTATAACTTAGTTGAATCACTTCATTTGGCTCCCATGCCTTATTTGAAGGTAAAAACGTTAATAATAGTTTACGAAATTTTGTATAATGTTACAATTATAACGTTGGTCAATAATGTATGATCAATAAAAATGTTTTATAACTTCAAGGAATATTATTTTATTATTCTTTTTATCAATACTTTTCATAGGTTTTGACTTTAAATTCCAACAAGGTGTCGTCGTTATCAGGATTGAAGCAATCTTCATTGAAGTGTTTATCGTTGAATGGTATGAAAAAGAGTTGATTAATTTTTAAAATTTGTGATATGAAAACTTTTATGAAGTTAATTATTTATTTATTTTGAGATACAAGTTTATTTTTCATTGTAAAGTCATAAGAACAGCGTTAAAATTTTTTTATTCTTTATTTAGTAATATGACAAGCTTTAGCAATAATTGCAACACTCTTTTTTTAATAAATTAACAATAAACAGAATTAAGGAAATTACATTATTTCATTCGCGTATAGCAATAAAAAAACGCAAAAATTAAAAATATATATATCTTTTAAATAAAAAAATGAAATTTTATTTTTAGTGATTATTTTGTAGTCTATATGGGACCCAATGGTTTATTAGGATAGGGTCTTCTTAAAATTAAAGCCTCGTGCATGAGCATCTCTTATCACATGTCTTGCCATGGCTCCACTAGTTCATCGTTAGTTACTGACGATGCTTATGTTTGTGGCACAAATAACGGGTAGCAAAATTTCGTGTTCTCTGCCATCAGTGGCGTATCGAAGTCAAAGAAAATAGACAGAATAAAAAATATCTGAACTTTAAAATTGTCAACCATCTTTAAATATCTAAATACACTATTGGATAGAAACTGCTATTATTTAGATGATACCATTTTTAGTGACTATATTTTAAAGATTGGATATAGTATAAAGTAGTGTACAATAATATCAGATATCTAATATTTAAAAATCATTTTTATGATTAATTATAACTTTGACCATCATAAAAACCATCGATAACGCATGTACCCACGTCATTTTAAGATCTAGTTCTACAAAAGCATAAGATCGATGTTCCTGTCCTGCATATTATATCACCTCTTTCTTCACTCAAAATACGACTGATGGAAGGTGTTCAATTATTATCTGATATAACAATTTATATGAGCACCGTTTTCAAAAAAGTGTTCTTTATATTTGATTAGAATATTATTACATTTTTTTTTCAAAAATATTTTGGTACATAGATTAAGGGGTTCTAATGCAACTGCATTCCCAGCATTTGTCTATTTACACCTCTGGTTTTTTGTTTATATTAAGTTACAGTTAAAAAATAAACTTAAAACTGTTTACTTGATATCATATCATTATTTTAGATAATAACATTTCCCAATTGATATGCGAATCTGATAATAATTCAAGCTTTAAAGACAACTACTTCAACGGAATCGATTGTCCTGAGCTTATGGCACTATCTATTTGCTCTAACAATTTGATTAATATAAATAATATTTCTCAAGTTTCCATCAATTTAAGTGTGTTATACTTAGTGAGTATATTATGTATTGTTTAATTCATTGTTTGTATTATAAATATAAATAACAGTGTTGAGTAAATTACTTAATTTTAGTAATAAAATAAAATTACAAATTTTCAATTAAATTAGTAAATTAAACTATTTAAAAATATTTCAATACAGTTTTAATGAAATACATTACTATGATAATAAAAAGAGTTACTTCATTACTATAGAAGATTTTTTTTTCATTTATACGTTCAATATGACATTTATTTGAATTAAATCACTTATACCATTGAAATTTTTTCATATGGGAGTATATAGAAATTTAAAATTTAAAATAGAGAGGGCATACAAATATTTGTCACTTAAGTATATAAATGATCTAGTTAAGCAAATAACTCAAAATTTGGACCAGTATTTAAAAAGATAGAGCACTTTTATACAGGACCAGAAATTTAATAAAATAATGATTCGGGTTAAATATTTCACTTACAGAGTCGCAATAAGATTCAAAATTTAAAAGGCTTAAAAGATTTAATCAATTTAGAAAGATTACATTTACGGAGCAATCATATAACAAAATTGGACGGATTTAATGAAAAAATGAAAAAATTAAAGTATTTAAATATAAGGTAAAATTACAGTAATAAATAATAATTTTAGTTTCGATGCGATTACTACAATGTTTTTTTTTTGGTGACTTTTCCACTTTTTCTCAGCTCTCATTGGACCGACTTTAATGAACAATATGTCAAAATATCACAAATCATATCTAGTTGAAGACATTATTCTTTAAAATTCCCTCGTTCCCCGTAAATGGGGGATATTTTAAAAAAATTACAATTTTTAAAATCGGTAAATTTTGTCATTTTTTTTTCACTTTTTTTCTTAAAACTACCATAACTTTTTAAAAATTAACAAAACAACTTTTATTTTTTTTTTTATTAAAACCTTAAATATTTCCCTTCCACTCGATATCATTTTTTTTGAAAATCTAACATTTAACCTGCTCACAGGGGGTGATTTAAAATAGCAACTTTTTTTTACAAAATTTAGCTTTTTCAACTTAACTTTTGAAAATATTCTTTTAACGTATACCAAATTAAAGCTTATGTCATGTACTATAAAATGAAAAATAAAAATTTGTCCCGACGACTTATCTTCTATGTGCAAATAGCTGCCGTAGTTAAAAACATGCTATTTTTGTATTAAAATTTTTGATTTTATATTTTCAAGTTTAAATTGCTATAACTTTTAGAAAGATTCTGTCATATTATGTAAAAATGTTTAAGCAGATGAACGTGTCCTGTCAGTATTCCATTCAGAGTGCTTATTGATGTCTAATCATGTTATTAACATTTCTCAATAGTATATTGGAAGTCTCGAAATATAATTTTAATTGTTTGGGCACCACAAGGCAACCCACATGTTCCTGTGTTGTTCTCTATGCCAAATTTCGGATAGTACATTGAGGGATTGCTCTATGAGTCTTAATCACTGGTTCAAGTCTACATAGATATTTTTTGTACCTTTCCTCGCTAGAAAGTCTATTTTTTCATTAGTTGCCACACCGCTGTATCCTGGTATGCATTCTAGTGTAACTTTATTGAATCTTGCTAGTGATTCTAAAGTTTTATTTATTATCTAATAGTTTCTAATTAAATAGCGCTATTAGATCCCTACCTAAGTCTGTGGACTCGTATGGTAAGTATCTTGAGGTTACTGTAATATTTTTACTATCACTTAATGTTACTATAATAGTTATAAGTCTATGCTTAATAAATTAAATATATTAACTAGTTAAATGTGTATGTTGGCATTTAAAAATATGAGGTTGACAGGCCTATAAGACATAAATAATATAAATAAAAACATTTTACAACTGTAAGTGATAAATGAAGATGCATAAGTTTTAGGCGACCTACATAAATTCAGTCGGTAACGAGTCGTGTCTCGGTGCGTAGGTACCCGAATTCGATTCTGTTGCGTTTGGCTATGTTGATTTTCCATGTATCTCGAGTTTAGTTTGAATTTTATTACTGTTTTGAACCATTTGGAGAAATAAATTTACTTCCAAATAGCTTCCGAATATACAGTCCAACGTTTATTTTAAGTAAAATTCTCTATAATTTGTTTATAGAGCTTAATTTACAATTCTCAAGAATCTAGATATTCATTTTTTGCTCACATTTTAAAGTATATTAAGCGTACAATTTTCAGTTTTAATTGAATATGATAGTTGTATTTTGAAATTTTTATGTACTAGAAGCCTTTAATCGTAATAGTTAATATAAATGTTAAAATGTTTACTTATATATTATAAATATTTTTTTTTTCTTCAAATTAAAATACACTATTAAAAAAAAACTCAGCACAGGTGGTCGCGGCACAGTGGTCACGTGACATAGTTGGATCAAGTATAATGATATCTGACTGTAATTAAAATCACTATCAAAAAAAAAGCTTCGATGCAAATTTGTAGATAGTGTTTAATTTTAAAAAATTGGTGGATTATTCTAAAAGCTACATGATATGCTAGTTCCTTATTTGTATTCTGATTAAGATATAGTATGTCGAATGAAAGAGGGATATAAATATTATTTCTTATAAAAAAATTGTATTGATCCATACATTTTTCAAAAAGTTATAAAAATATAAAGTTAAAAATGTAAAAAATAAAATCCAGAATTTTCACACAAAAATAGCATTTGGTAACTATTTTCACCGTGAAGACAAAATAAATTCCGACATTTTTTTTTTACATAATAAAGTATATAAAGTGTCAGACTTTCTGGAACACTTTCAAAAGTTAAGTTTAAAAACTAAATTTTTTGTGAAAAAGTTGTCATTTTGAATCCTCCCCTGTAGGCAGGTAAAAAGTCAGATTTATAAAAAAAATATACCAAATGATAGGTAAAGACATCATGCATCTATAAAAATAAGAATAATATTGATCCATACATCTTTCAAAACATTATAGCATTATAAAGTTAAAAATATAAAAAAGAATTTTTTTACAATAATCGTATTTTTTTTATTAACTTTGCCTGTTTTCACCATGAAGATAAAATAAAATCCGAAATTTTTTTTTACCATAATAAAGTATATTACATTAGCTTTAATTTAATATATATATAAAAGTGTCAGACTTTCCGGAACACTTTCAAAATTTAAGTTGAAAAAGTTCTACTTTCTACATGCATTTTTTATATTTGAACCCCCCTCGTATATAGGGAAATGATCCGATTTAAAAAAAAAAGGTATGTCCAATAAAAGATGTATATAAATACTACTTCTCATGAAAAAATTGTATTGATCCATACATTTTTCAAAAAGTTATAGCATAATAAAGTACATTACATTAGCTTTAATTTAATATATATATAAAAGTGTCAGACTTTCTGGAACATTTTCAAAAGTCAATTTGAAAAAGTTAATTTTTTGTAAAAAAAATTGTCATTTTAAATCCCCCTGTAGGCAAGTAAAGGGTCAGATTTATAAAAAAATTCACCAATTGAAAGGTAAAGACATCATGCATCATAAAAAAAAATTATATTGATTTGGTTATTTTTAAAAAAGTTATAGCAATTTTAAGTAAACAAAATTTCGAAAATTTCGAAAATTAGTGATTTTTAAATTTGTAATTTTTTTGGAGGTTTCCCCTATTTTCGGGGAACGAGGGAAATTTTTTCAATTTTTGAGGGTAATGTCTTCGACTAGATACGATTTGTGATCTTTTGACGTATCGTTGAAAGAAATCCATTCGGTGAGAGCTGAGAAAAAGTGGTAACAAACACAAAAAAAAAAAAAAAACACACATCATAGTAAAACCTTCTCAGCTTCGTATCGAAGCTAAAAATTATTTAAATTATACAAATTTTTTTTCAGAGAAAATCGAATTGACAACATCAAAGAACTTAAAAAATTAAAGTGCCTCAGTTCTTTAAAAATATTGGTAGTAAAGTCGAACAACTTCAATGATAACAATGAAAATACTAATAACAGGATGAATATATTAAATATGCTCCCTTGGTTGAAACGCTTGGATAAAGATGAAGTGACAAAAAATGAAAAAGATAATATAGAATATGAGGAAACAGATGATGCATACTCTAACATTGAAATAGATTCGAGTATAGGAAACGAAGAAGAATTAATTTTTGAAGATCAAGATTTCTAGAGTTTGTTATTTGTAATGTAATGTAATGTTTTATGTTATGTCTCAAAATATTAATAATTTAATCTTATAGCTCTGCTTAAAAAAATCATAACTGACTTATTTGAATAAAAATGGATTGGTTGGGTTAGACTGTGTTTAATCAATTATAAATAGACTACTGACTTGTAGTTTTAACTGAGTTCTTAAACTTAAATAATAGGAGATAATAAGTTTATAAATGGGACAATATTAAAACTTAATGCAGAGGGGCCATGTAACCGAATCAATGATGTGGGATGGTTAAATATTATCAACAACTTAAAAGACTTGCGTGTTGAGGATTAAATATGGATTGACTATGGTGAATCTCTCATCCGAATAGCAAGTGACCTGGGTTTGATGTCCAGAGCACTAAAATATAAATTTTTTTAGTATTCAAGTTTCTGGTACACATAAATATACTTGTATATTTATTGGGTTTGATCTAATTTTGTTTTCTTAATAAAAATAAGATACTTTTTCAAAAGGTTTTATATATATTAGACGACAGTAATATGAGTATTCATGAACATAAATATACAAATGAACGGCGGTACCTGGTGTCACGCAATAAAAAAATAAAATTGAAAAGTTTATTATTTTGAGACTAAAAAAGTTTACAAAAAAAACCAAGACTTGAATTATTTTTATTTATTTCTTACTTTTTGCATCTTACATTCATTTTACTGATACGAGCATTGGTATTTCACTACTAGTGCAACAATAAATGTCAAATATTACTTTTTAGATGACAAATGTGTACATTAAATTATTAAAAATATTAAGTTAAGTTGATTGTTTTCCTAATTAATTTGAATAATTTAATTTACCGTTGAAATAATATATTTTTATAAATTAGAAATAATCCTACTATCTTTAATTATAAATGTTTTAAACATTTTTGGTTATAGCGGTTATACATAAAAATTACTGCAGTTATAAATATGTAGAAACACCTAAAAATATGTGATTTTCCAAAAAAAGCAAGGACTCAAATAGAGTTTAAAACATTTTTAGCCATTTTTTTGGGTTTTACTGCTTAAATTGTCTCAATAAATTTCGAGTTTTTAATTACGGACTTAATAGTTTCATATAAATTTTATTGTCATTATTTTGTGTTTTGAACATAGATGCAACTATTGAGACAATAATTGTGTTAATTCTATTGCAAAATTATTAAAAACTTCAAAGACACAAGATCGTATTCAGACGAATGGGATACAATAGACAATGATACGTAGGATAGTTGAACTAAGTTAGGATAGTGAAAATATCACGAGTATTTAATCGAAATTTACTCAAAAACACTATATTACAAAATGTATACTAAGGTAAGTTTCAAAAATTTGTCCAAATAAGCATGACAAATAAAATATTGAAAACGTTAAATTCGATGACATCTAGACTTGGTTGTACAAAGTTTCATTTTTTATTACGAGCAAGTAATGCGTTTCATCATTGCATGTCGTAAATGTCGGTAACTACTTGAAAACATTAGCGAAGCACACTTGATTATTAGTCTTTTGACGTGCTTAAAACATTAGTCTCTATAAATTAAAAAATTTACAATACCGATAAAATAAACTAAGATATGTAAAAAATAAAATATGCCTTCAAAATCTTATTATACTGTTCTAATGTTTTATTTTTTTCTTAAATATTATAATTAATAATAATTAATTTACAATATTTTTCTTACCTCTCGAAATCCATGATTTTCAAGCAAAGTAGACAGTAGTCTTGAATCAACATTTAATAGTTTATACGATAAATTAACTGTTTTCCAAGGAACTTCATATAAATATCTTTCCAACGCCGCCGCATGGAAAATGCATGTGTCTATACCCGTAGATGATTTGAAAATGTACTTTTTGAATTCTTCATCTTCAGTTTTATTTACCTCAACCATTTTTTTTTTGTAAGATTTATGTTACAAAATAAAATAACAGAGAATCACAAAGACTGATTATCAAAATGCCTACCACTTACTGTTATTAGAAAAATAAAACTAATAAAAATATTCATTTCTTTTAACTTTACCTAAAGAGTCAGTTTTGGGGTCTTATCTGTATGTTTAATCAATTATTGAAACGATGTGCACGAATGAATTTTTTGCTTAGTAACGCTTACAATCTACTAACGAAACAAACTTTGGTGGAATTATTTTACCGCCTAAAGATATGTCTCATTTTATTATATCTTAAATAGTGTTATGGCAATAGCATTTAACGGGTAACCCCAATGGTTTACAATAAAAGAGCAATATCATGAAATAACATTTATTTGGGAAATTTATTTCCTCGAAAGACATTAATGATAAACATTTGAGTTTTATAAATAATACTAAGTTATGATATGATATAATTCAAGTACAAATTCACCTCATAAATGTAATGTATTAACAAGGCTTAATTAAGACCAACGTGGATCTCGGGGCGGTGCCTCAATGAGTCCCTGTATGGAATATATCGTTACCATAAAAAGAGTAATGAGCAAAAAAATCAGAAAACTGCATGTCACTAATCATGAATAGTTAGTGAAGATGGGACCTTTAAACTCATAGGCACCAGGCCATTTATCCCTCTTTAATTCAGGCTAGAGTATTATAAAGTTCGGTGCAAGAGGAAGGCAGGACCGAGCGTTATTTCAAATTATACTAAATCGAGGCAAAATGTGTCACTGGTCCATTTCACAAAACAACTCGTTATTTATTTCCAAAATATAACAGCTAAACTAATATCATATAAAAAAAACAATTTAAAAAAATGGCTATATGGTTTTTTTTTACAATTTTAATATAAATAAAAAATGGGAATTTTTAATGTTTGTGCTAGTTTGAAGGATGGAGTTTTATAACAAAAAAATAACAAATTTTAATATTATAACTTAGAAAACCTAAAATAATGTATTCAAGTATTCAAAAATTGAACGCACAGAAACAATTTTTAATAATTTAAAAATCTAATTTAGTCTGTTTAGTATCATTTTGAACCTTTTTTTTAAAGCTCGTTTTTATCTAGTTCTTTTTGGGTATCACTTTTTCTTTTAGTAGGTTCTGACATTTTATTCTATTTCAAAAAAATAACACCACACATTCAACTAATTATACATAAAATCATAAAAATCAAGTTGGATTCTCTTATTATGAATCCAGTTTGATAAAAACGTTTAATTTAAAATCTAGTGATAACTGATAACAGAAGACTAAATTATGTATGATTATTATTAACACTATGATTCCAAAATTGTGCAATTTATCAAAAGTTTTTGAGGAAAAAAAAATTTTTTTTCAAATAAAATTTAGGTTTTTAAATGTTTTGTACATAACATTTAAATAACTCGGTATAGCTCGGCATAGTATAACTATAGGTCGACCGGTCTCCATATGTATTGAAAATTTAGACTGGGACAGCTAGCCCCCCTAAATGATACTTCGAAAATAAAGCGATCCAGATGATTACCCAGGACACTAATGTATCAAGGGACACAAAACATTTTTTTCATAAAAAAAAAATTAAAGTTACTCACATATTATTTGAACTGAGTCATCATCAGGTATGATGATGACCTAATGGTTCTGTATATTAAGCACATGAAAGTGCAATTATCTCAGTGCATTTTAATATTTATTATAATTTTAATCTACAGCATTAGTAAAATGTTTACAAGTACTATAATAAAATACAAAATATTAGTTCTTATTGAGTAATGAAAACTGTAAAATATTTCGCTGCCTCGATTTTGCCTATTTGACGATAATATAGAAGCGCATTTTATACAAGACGTTACATTATTTTTTTTTAATGAACAAAATTTTAACAGCCCAATCATTGATTAAATACAAATAGGGCACTTTCTTTTGGCGGCTAGATAGCGTTATTTTTATAGTTAAAAAAATTATAAACCAATCAAAATTTATAACATGAACACTATCTATCAATTAGCCTTATTTAGAGTCCAAAAACGCAATGCTAAAAATTTCTTCATATAAGGTATACTTGTACTTAATCAATGGGTCATTACATACTAATAGCCTAGATTAAATACATATACATAGGCTACGGCAATCAGCCTACTGGCAAGCGATTTTTTTAACACGCTTTTATTAGTTTCACATGTATGTTGTTTGTATGTAAGTTTGTAACTCTCCAAACGCCACGCGTTATCGCATATTCCGTTGTCTAGACTAGACTGTTATACGCATTCACCCCTCCCCACGCCTCGCTCACAATACGACGGTACACTATTCCTATAAAAATTTATTTTTAGTTATCGTACCCGTACACGCGTGCTTGTCATCAATATTATATATATGTAAACAAATTTTTATTTTGACTGACCAATAACGCCCGCGTCTAATGCGCCTTACGTATATATATATTTATATTCCTACCGCCGTTTATACCTCGGGTATAACGTTAGTCCGACCCGCCCGGCCATAAAACACAGCTATACTTAGTGCATGATACTTTTACGTAGTTAAGTCGCATTATTTGTATAAATATATATATTCTAATTACTATTAAAATTAATATATTAACACGATTTATTCTAATTAAGAGATATAAAGTATTCATTCCGATTACGAGGGATGATTTCCGTATCGTCATTTTTCGTCACTACCTCCACGTTCCGGGAGTGAGTAATTTACGCGCCTGCTGCTTTCCTTGGATGTGGTAGCCGTTTCTCAGACTCCCTCCCCAGAATCGAACCCTGATTTCCCGTTACCCGTAACAACCATGATATTGATAGTAACTACTATCATAACATGAAACTAAAAAGTAAAAAATAAATATAGTTTAAAAAACTAAAAAAACACGCTTTTAAAGTACATCGAACTAAAAAGTTAAAAATAATTTTTAAAATAATTATGAACAAAAAATACTAGTATTATTGTGATAAAAGCGTGGGTGCTTTGTGCCATATTTTTCGTATATTGAGCGCCCGACGCTTTTATCACAATAATACTAGTATTTTTTGTTCATAATTATTTTAAAAATTATTTTTAACTTTTTAGTTCGATGTACTTTAAAAGCGTGTTTTTTTAGTTTTTTAAACTATATTTATTTTAATTTATGCCTGGAGAGAGCGCTATAATATATTAAATATTTAATAATTATACAGCTTGTTGATATTTGGGTAATAGCCGCAATTATCAATGTGTGATTGACATCTGCTAGAGCATATTAAGGTAAGAATCAGTTAGTATTAAAAGGTAATTACTTATTATTTCATTTTACATACGAGTACATAATGTTTTTTGTTTTATTAATATTGATTTATATTTCACTATTGTTTTTTTTTTACATTTACAAAAATGGTATTAATTTTAACTATGGCAGCCATTTGTACATAAAAAATAAGGCGTCGGCGAGAAAATTTCTTTTTTATAACTTATATTACGTAAGATAAGTTTAATTTTACATATGTTTAATACTTAGAATAATCCCGAAACATTTAAAAAAATTAAATAAAAAAAGTTTAATTTGTTTGCAAAAATTGCTATTTTTAATCTCCTTATATGAAAAAAATTGCTAAAAAATAATTTATAACAGTTTAAAAAAAGTAAAAAAAAACACAGCACAGTGGTGAAGTGGCATAGATGGTTCAAGTATAATGATATCTGACAGTGATTAAAATCACTATCATAAAAAACGCTTCGGTGCAAATCTGTAGATAGTGATTAATTAAAAAAAAAAAATTTGTCAAAAAAGTAGGTCAAGTGAGAGCTGAGAAAATAAATGATAGCTACAAAAAAAAAACTACATAGTAAAACAATTTCTTCTCACGAGAGGAGACTACAGTAATGGAATCATTGATATTTATTGAATATAAATAGTTATATAGTAATATAATTTCTAGTTGAAATCTGTTATCATATCAAACCTAATTCGACAATAAAATTTAAATAATATTAGAAATAAAAAGCTTTTTATTTGATAAAATAAATTTTTAAATTTGTAATTTTTGGGGGGGATTTCCTCCATTTACGGGTAAAGACCGAATTTTTTCAATTTTTGAGGGTAATATTCTACTAGATAGATACGATTTGTGATCTTTTGACGTATTTTTTAAAGAAATCAGTCCAGTGAGAGCTGAGAAAAGTGGCAACAGATATAAAAAAAAAAAACACATCATGGTAAAATTAATACCTTCTCAGCTTTGCATCGAAGCTAAAATACCGATTTTAAAAATCATATTTTTTGGGGGGTTTCCGCCATCTAAAGCGAACGAGAGATTTGTTTGTAATTTCCAAGGGCAATGTCGTCTTTAACTAGATACGATTTGTAATATTTTGAAAGAAATGGGTACGCTGAGAAAAAGTTGCGACAGACAAAACAAAGTACATAGTAAAATTTATACTTTTTCAACTTCGCATAGATACAAAAAAATGTACGTAGGTTGATGGTCTATTTTAAATTCTTCCTATACTTGGGTTTTTCACGCCAAAACTAAATTTCATTTAGTTCAGTGTTTTTAAAAAAGGTTTTAAAATGCTTTTTTTACAGTAGCGTAATTTTGAAATATTTTTTTTAAATTGAGCTTTTTTCAACATTTCAGCTCTGATAGGTTTAACTATAAGCTATACTAACTATAAGTAATTTATTTAATACATATCAGTGTTTATAACTTTTAGCTCAATTTGCAAATTTGAAATTGACATCATAAATTGTATTTATTGAGAATTAAAAAATTGTATCGTTAAGAGTAATATACAGTCAGGAAATTTTAAAATAATTATTTATAGTAAATTTATCAGAAAAGCTCAATATTTTTTTGCATTTTTATCATAATAGATAACTTAAATAGAAATAATTGTAATCATTTCCTAGTAACTATTGGTGATTAAAATGATTCTTTAATATACTTTATATAATGATACTTTAACTAAAAAACCTATCAAAAAAAGTTGTTAAAAAGATTTAAAAATACATTGTTAATTCAGAGAAACTAAAAATAATTTTTTTTAGAAATGATTTATATAGCAACATGTTACCAAAAAATTTGGAATATTTTAGTCTAGTAGTAGCACGCATGAATAGAGTAAAAAAAATATTATATTCCAAAGTAAAATGA